GGGGGTTTGGGGGGGGGGGGTCAGCCGGGTAAATCAGGCTTAGTGTCTCAGAGCACAGAGAAATGGGAGGGACTGCCAAAGGGGTGACTTCCTCCTCCCTTAAAAAATGGGCATTCTCTTCAGGAGGGGCCTTTGACTCTGTTTGGAACCTGCTGGGCACCCCTGCCTGGATGAACCCATCATGCTGTGGCCCACTATTTAGCCTCAGTGACCCCATAGCACCCACTCTGCAGAGTCCTAGAGTGCCACAGAACATGGAGCCCATTCAGGGGTCAGGTTCTCTCCAGCTGCTGCAGAGCCAGCTGTGACTGCTGAGAGCTGCTAGGAGCAGCAAGCCCCTCCAGCTGAGGCTGAGGCTCCAGGGACAAACAACTTTCCCTCCCCTGGTCCCACTATCTGGCCACAGAAGGGCATGCCTCCCATGAGCCAAGAGCCCAGGGGGGTGGGAGCTAGATGAAAAAATTATTCTGACACTTATTAAAATGGTAAGGAAGACTTTATTCAGGACTATCACAATAAGTGTTAAGACTGTCACAATAGGGGAGACAGATCAGACTCAGCTCCAAAGACAGCAAAGACAGCTGGGGATTCATGGCCAATGAGCAGAGGGAGAGGGCCAGTGGACAGAAATTCCTAAGAGGAGACATCAAGGGTAGGGTCGTTCTTGCTAAAGGCAGGCCAGGATGATCAGACCTCGAGGGTGTGGAATGAGGAATTTGGTCAGTTATCAAGGGTAATCAGATATCAAGGGTGGGAGAATTCTCATTAAACTGACTTAGTAGGATTCTCACTAAAGAAGAAGCTGGGTAGGCCAAAGTCAGACCCAAGTTTGAGGCCTAGTTGAAAAGCATGCTCAGAGGAGCCTGTCTAAAGTCTGGTCAAAGATGGAGTCTTTGTTGCTGTTCTCGAGTCTTATATGTGAGGCAGTGCTCCCCCGGGACCACCAGCCTCCTCAACAACCAGGAGCCCAGAGCTGTCTTCCCCTCCAGGCGATCTCCTTCCTACATCGTCTGCAACACCACGTCCTCAGAGGAGGTGCTGGAGATGAAGGTGACAGTGCAGGTGGACAGGGCCAAGATCCACCAGGACCTGGTCTTCCAGTACGTGGAGGACCCTACCATCGTGCGCATCGAGCCAGAGTGGAGCATCGTCAGGTAGGAGCCGCTGAGCTAAGGGCCCTTAATGCCTCTGGACCTAGTTTCCCTTCCTCAACTCTCAACAGCCAAGGAGAGTTCTGGGGGGCCAGTCCTGCCTAGGGGACTGATGAACTGTTGGGGATCTAGGGCACCCCCAAATCAGAAGGCCTTCCTCTCATAACTCCGTCCTCCCACTGGGAGCACTACTGGGCAGGACCTATCCTGGAGGCCAAGCTCTGACCAGCAAGAGACACCTCCCTCAATTTGAGGAACAGTGGACGTGCTTGGAGGCTATGTCTCCATCCCACAGTGATTGCCAGGGTCCAGTTCTACTTCCTTCACTGCTGGCAAACAGGGGCAATAATTCTGGTCCTGCTTTAGGCAGAGCAATGTGGGAGAAGGAGTTAGACTAGGTCCAACCTCTCCTTGCTTGCTCTGGAGGGAAACCGTGTCCCAACCACCACAGTCCAGTTCAGACATCCGTCCTCATGCTTCTAAGGCCTCCTGCCAGCCTTTGTCTCAGCATGACCTTGAGTCACCTGTGTATGTGTGTCCTTCCCTCTACTGCCAGCTCCTCAAGGGCACAGTGTGGGACCGACTTTCCTGCTATTTCTCAGTACCTGACATGAGCACACTGAGCACTCATCCCAGAAAGAGGGAACCAGGTATCTGATGCTGTTATAGAAAGACCTGCGGCAGGGAGTCAGGACCTTCAGTGCTGGTTCTCGCATAGCGTTCACCATGGGCAACTTGAGTACTCTTCCCTGGCCTCTACCTCTTTGGTGATTCAACTGGGGATTCGGAAACACCAGGATCTCTAGGGTCTCTACAGTGGTGCATCTCACTTTAGGAAAGGAGCTGTGGACAGATGGCAGAGTCTGCTTTTCCAGCCCTGGAGGATGCACAGGAATGGAAAGGTGCTGCAGAGAGCCTCCTGCCTGCAGGGCCTGCAGAGAGCATTGGGACACTGCTGTATCAGAGGCCACAGGGGAATGGAGCAAGGGCTCAGAGTCAGAAGGAGCAGGCTCAGTGCAGCTCCATGGCTTACCAGACAAGTGACCTTAAAAGTTACATAACCTCCCTGAGGCCAGAGTTCCTCATCTCACAGAGCGGCAAAGAAAATTAAGTGAGATGCAAATATGCAGTGCAGTGTCTGGCTCGGTCCTCGTCCTCTCCACTGTCTGCTTCAGCTTTGGAGGGGCCTGGGGTCAGGGGAGCAAGTGGGGAGAACAGGAAGAAATGGTCTCCAAGTGCTGAGGCTGGGAGGAGAGACAAGTCCAGTCTGGGGAACAATCTTGTAAACCAGGGCCAGCAAACTCCAGTCCTTGAGCCAAATCTGGCTGGCCACCTGCCAATAAATAAAGTATTACTGCAGCACAGCTATGCTCATTTGTATATGTACCATCTATAGCTGCTTTCTTACTGCAGTAGCAGAGTTGAGCAATTGCGACAGGGTCCATATGGCCTGAAAAGCCTAAAATATTTACTATCCGGCCCTTTACCGAAAGAGTTTGCTATCCCTTGCCTTAAACCACAAGGTAGCCCGTGCTTGCTGAGATGAGATTTGGTTGTCCTCAGCAGTTATTCCATAAGACCCAAACCTTAGAAACTTCAGCCATGATCTTAAAGCGGTTGAAGAATACAAGGCACAGAAAGAGGGAAATCACATGTAAAGAGCTATACCAGGATTTGGCCCCAGGACCTGGAAGGTCCAGGACGTTAACATAGTCCCTTGTGTCTCAGCCAAAAAAAAATCTGCAGCTCTCTGAGGGATGCACAGCCTGGCTTAATTCAATTCTTCCCTGTGTCATAGTCATAGAAATAGAGGTGTCAACCTGTGTCCCCAGATGCTCTCATGGAGAGGGAGGTTGCAGACATGTTCTGGGTCTGCCAGCCAGATCTGGTGTTTCTGCTCAGGTTAATTGAGTCTGAGGATGGGGTGGGCTCTGCGTAAGGAGGGCTTTCATACGACTTACCACAGCCTGGGTCACCAATGAAAGGAGGGGGGGCATTTGGTAAGTGCCTGTTGAATTGATGATTGGGAAGATCGGGAGATGGCTGGACCCTAGAAGCTCATCTCAAGCACTGCCTCAGGTGGAAGAACCTCTCTAGGTTTCACAGGAGTCTTCCTGCATGCATGGGTGTGTGTGCACGTACACACACATGCTCTTGTGTGTGCCTGTGGAGGGGGTGTAGGGAAGGAAGTAACTGGGAATGTAAAGATGGGCAGATGGATAGATGGGTAGAAATGAACGTGCGTGTGGATGTTAAGGGCTCTTTACCCACCAAGCTTATAAAGAACTAACTTGCTAAGCCCTGCTTTAGATAGCAGGGTTCTTCTTGAAGATACTCCCTTGATCAGAGGTCAGGTCACGACCTCGCTTTCCTTTGAGTAGCCCTGTTTTAATCTCTTTCTGTTGCTTATAACAAAATACTTGGAACTGGGTGATTTCTAAAAAAACAAAATTTATTGCTTACAGTTTCAGAGACTGGGAAGTCCAAAGTCCAGGGAACACTTAATGCAGGGGTCTCACATGGCAGAAAATGGCACAGCAGAGAGAGACTAACCTCTCACGTGCTCTTCTTTTAAAGCCCTCACAACCATGCCCCTGACCACCATTTTTGATCCATTTACTAAGGCAGGGTCTTATAATCTAATCACCTCTTCAAGGTCCCACCTTTCAATTACCATAATAGGATTTCCCACCCTCTTAACACTGTCACAGTGGGGGCCAAGTTTTGGGGGGATGCTCAACCCAAGGCAAGCCCCAAGGAAGATTCAGTCAAGTAGAGTAGCACCTGCCTCTCCATGCCAGCTCTCAGCCACCCTGAGGATGGGCAATGGCGTCCAGGTTTCCTTTGAAAGGCTACACCGAGGTAAATCTCCCAAGCCCTCCCATCAGCAATCTTGTGCCATCCCTGAGTGTAGGACACCCGAGTCCTGAAGCATTTGCATTCCTGGAGGAGTTTTCTGAGTGCCTGGGCCCTCTGTCTTTCCCAGATATCACCCAGACTAAAGCCCCCAACATAGACATATGTAGTACAATTGCCTCGGGGAAGCACACTGCTCAGACCCTGGAGGGTCTGGTGGGGATGTTCTGGGGCGAAGCTTCCATTAGGCCAAGGCCAATGTGAAAAAGTTCCAAGTCTGCTGAGGGCTGGGGGAAGAGACACGAGAGGTTGCCAAGAAGCAGCTGGCTCAGGTCAAGAGGCCTCAGAGAGCCACAGGGACTGTGCTGTCGACTGGACCTCCATGGGGTGTCCACAGTCTACGCGAGTTCAGCCAAGGACAGCCACAGACCTCTGGTCACCATTGTCTTCCTCTTGGTTGCTGAGATGCTCATCCTTATGTTAGGCAGTGAGCTGTCATCCTTGCCCAGTGAACAGCATTATGGCACCTAGTTGTCATCGTTCTTATTGTCATAGCTCAACTCCATCATCATCATCATCATCGTCATCATCATCATCGTCATCATCGTCATCATCATCACCATCGTTGTCGAGTGCTGTTGCTTTTCCTATCCTTCTGATTTACATGCCTCCTTCTTTCTTCCCGGTCAGTGGAAACACGCCCATTGCTGTATGGGGTACCCACCTCGACCTCATCCAGAACCCCCAGATCCGTGCCAAGCATGGAGGAAAGGAGCACATCAACGTGAGTCCAGGGCTGGTGGGGCCTGGGGAGCTGACCCACACGCATGCTCCACACGTGCTTCCCCAGAGGGTGTGGGGCTCCCGAGTCCTCAGGCAGTCCCTGCCCACACATTGATGACCCACGGCAGGTGGCACATGAGTACTGAGATGGTGGGCTAAGGAGCAGACCTAAGGGTGATTTCACCCGTTGGGGACAGTGCAGGAGCAAGCACTTCTGGAGTTTTGGGGGTCTCATACCCTTAGTCTTCCATCCTTGCAGCCATTCTGCTGCTCCCTAGCTTAGAAAATACTTGAGTCACTGCCTCACCTGCTTCAGCAGAGCTAGGTGCCAGCTTTAGGGCTTGTTCCTTGAGTGCCCAGATGTGTGGTCCTGGCTCCCACGTCACCCTGTGCTCTATCGACCACACGTGGGGAAACTCATGTGTGTGCTCAGGCTGCAGGCATGTGGAAATAAACTGCATAGTCTTCCCTCTCTGGCTCCTCTGCAGATCTGTGAGGTCCTGAATGCTACTGAGATGACCTGTCAGGCGCCAGCCCTCGCTCTGGGTCCTGAACACCAGTCAGACCTGACCGAGAGGCCTGAGGAGTTTGGCTTCATCCTGGACAATGTCCAGTCCCTGCTAATCCTCAACAAGACCAACTTCACCTACTATCCCAACCCTGTGTTTGAGGCCTTTGGTCCCTCAGGGATCCTGGAGCTCAAGCCAGGCACGCCCATCATCCTAAAGGTACAGCGTTGAGTGGTGGACGTGAGGTGGGGGAAACAGAAGCTTGGCATGGAAGGGCATCAAGTGGCAGAAAGACCAGAAGTCACAGGCTCCTGCCACATTATATGACTGGCATCCCTTGCAGAAGTTGTGTGATAGCCAAAACATGATAAATTTTTTTCCGTGAGTTTGCATTGGGAAGAAAACTCTCTTACCAGACTGCATTTGGGGCAGGCTTGGTGTGTCCTTAGAGTCCAAGAACTGGGAGGTCCAGAGGCTCACACTGTTTTCTCCTGTGCAGCCGCTTGCAGGCCACAGCATGGGGTGTCTTTGGAGCATGGATTGCAAGTTAATTTTAACCCATTTGACAATTTCAATTAACAACTCTGTTGAGAAGGATTCTGAGGCTGCATTTGGGATAAGCTGAAAAGAGTATCTTACGTTTGATTTCCACTGGGAGGAAAGGAGAATGCTAGTACACATGCCATGGACTTTTTTGAACTTATGACCAAAGGTGGCCTCTCCACCAGCTCACCAGCAGGATGGGACCCCCGGGAGGGAGGACATGGCAGCCAGTTGGTAGCTGCAGTGCTGACTCTGAGATGGGAACTGGACTTTCCTGTGCGTCCAGGGCAAGAACCTGATCCCACCCGTGGCCGGGGGCAATATGAAGCTGAACTACACCGTGCTGGTCGGGGAGAAGCCATGCACTGTGACCGTGTCAGATGTGCAGCTGCTCTGCGAGTCCCCCAATCTCATCGGCAGGCACAAAGTGATGGTGAGGCTGGTGGGACCCTGTCCTGGATGGAAAGGGCACAAGAGACACTGGGTATGAGTGGCCCAGCTCCATCCGGGCCACCAGGGCTTTCCAGGAAGGGGTTGTGGCCCACTGCAAACCTTCCTCTAGCTACCCCACACCCCGAGTTCCTTCTTCCTGTCCCCTTCCCAGCTTCTGTCCTCTGTATTGTCATTCCCTCCCCCACTGGCTGGTGCAGCAATAAAGGCCATGCATAACAGCGCTAGAGAAGGTGCCAAAGCATCTGTTATAGGTGAAAGAGCCTTCAAGAAGAGGATCATTGTCAGCCTGAGAGGTCTATGATTTTATGTCTGTGCCTCGGTGGTCCACCCTGACAGTGAGGATGAGTCTTAGGGGAGCCAGCCATTGGTGTCATGGCAGACTTTATTTAGGTCCCCCTGTATGCTGTTTCCTTATGAAGACAACAATGCTGGCTCCTGAATAAGGGAATGTGTGGTTTTCCAGCCGGGGGTAGCCTCTGCTGAGCCACCCCTCCCTCCCCAGCCCCTATATGCCCTGTTGTTTATTTTCACAACCAGAGAGGTGTCTTCCCTGCTGGCAGCTGTTCCCTTCATCCTGCCCTGGTCACCAGGCCATGAGTGACTCCGACTGTTACACAGACTGTCCTGCCCCTGCTCCCGGAATACTTTTTTTTTTTCAATAAACATGTACTGAGAATATTTTGTTCAGAAAACATGTACCTAGAATTTTTTTTTTTTTTTTTTTTTTTTTTGCCTGTGTGCCCGCAGGCCCGTGTCGGTGGCATGGAGTACTCTCCAGGCATGGTGTACATCGCTCCGGACAGCCCGCTCAGCCTGCCCGCCATCGTCAGCATCGCAGTGGCCGGTGGCCTCCTCATCATCTTCATCGTGGCCGTGCTCATCGCCTACAAACGCAAGTCCCGTGAGAGCGACCTCACGCTCAAGCGGCTACAGATGCAGATGGACAACCTGGAGTCCCGCGTGGCCCTGGAGTGCAAGGAAGGTACTGAGCGGCCAGGTGCCCATGGCCCCCCATAGGAGGTCATGTGCACATGTACATGTGAATGTGTGTGCACTTATGCTCGTGTGTGTGTGTGCATGGGCATGTGTGTGCACATGCACCTGGGTATGTGTGTGTGTGTGCGTGTGCCTCTCATGAACAAGCAAGCAGGCTGAGCTGCAGTCGGCAGCGCTGGGGGCTGGGTGTCTGAGCTGCAGAGCACCTAACTCTAGTCTCTGAGCCTGTGTCCCAGCTGAACGTACATCCTAGCAGGCCCCACCCTGGCAAACTCAGATAAGGCTGAGACCTCCTCTCCTTTGCTTCAAGGTGTCAGACTGGGATCATTTAAAACCCCACTAGCACAGTCTTCAGACCCAGAATCCTGGCTGAGTGGGTTTTGCACTCTAGGGGAGCCCGTGGAGTGTCTTGCCCTGCCACCTTCAAGTGACCCTCAGCTCGCTTCCTGTAGCAGGAAGGTAAGGCTGTGGGGCTGATCTGTGATTTAGAAGGAAGAGTGTTTTGCAGCATGTATTTTAAAAAATGACAAACACCACTGTGATGTGAAATCAGCTGCACTAAATCCAAGCAAGAAATTTAGGAGTCAGGTTTATGTAACCCCCAGGATATTGTTTCGTGGGTTGCTGTGGGCAGATTAGAGCTGGTTCTTTGCTGTAGATTTATCTGCGGAATAAATCTGGTCCTGTCCCTGCGGCTGTCGCAGCACACCGATTCCCGCCAGGGCAGCCGTGGTGTTTTCTGATGGGACGTGGATCCCTTCCATCCCCTCTCCACATCCTTCAGCTGTCAACACAGCATCTGCCTTGTGGGACTGTTAATTACTGCCTTTTATTATATTTACGCTGCTTAATTTTTTTCTCTGCAATGTACTCTTCCCTCTAATTAGGTGTAGTGATTAGAATCTCTTTTATGTGTGGCAGGCGCAAGGCTTTGAATGTTGGAGGCGCTTGGTGACTTAAAGGAAAGCTACAGACCGATAGAAAGCCAAGTCCCACCTTCTCCACCCCACAAGCTGAACACCCCGGTGGGGAGGGGGTAGCTGTGGGAAATGTGACGTTCCCAGAAAGGGAGGAGCCTGCAGTTGGACAGGAATCTAGCCTGAGTGTCAGGGGAGGCCCAGGAGGGAGCCTTGGCTTCCGGCTTGGGAGAGCTGTGCTCCGTGGCTGGGAAGAAGGAGGCTCTCGGCACAGGACACGCAGGGTTAGCCAGGGAAGACTGTCCAGGCACGCCCAGGGCTGGCTGCTGTGCACTGGGAAGGCAGCGTGCGCCTGGGGCAGGGTCTTTATGGAGACTTTATAGTCAGCCTGGAGGTCACCCATGCACACACTCAGAGGACTCCCAGCCTGAGTTTTTGATATGTAAACACACACATGTGCATGTACACACAGTCATGCTCACACTCACTGACATGCACACTCACACACTCACTCTAATTCTCATGCACACATTCCCACACACTCCTACAAACACACGTGTTCCTCACTCAGGACTTACAAGAGTGTTCATTGGGGCTTTTGGTGACAGCACATGTCAAAAAGGCTTACTGAGTGCCCTTTTACACATGCACATATGCACACACATTGGTCTAAGTTCCACTTGGATGCGTGAGGGTTCTCTGCCTTCAGGGTCACTCTACATGATAAGAACCCCTGTGTCCGTGTAACCAGAGCAGAGATACAGGCGCGCAGGAAGAGAAGAGCAACAGGGAACTCTGCAGCAGCTTCCCCAGGTGTCTGGATGGTATTCCCTTTGTCCTCTCAAAGGAGAAGGCTTGGTATTCTCCAATACCAGGAAAGCCAGAATCCACAGGCCTGAAGTCAGCTCTGCAGCTGGAGTGCCACCAAAGTTACTAGGAAGGGCAGCACTGGCCCCTGCCGAACCTTCCTGTGGCGGCCAAGTTGTGTTCATGAGATCATCACAGCCCACTGGGCACTGAGCTTGCTCTTTAAGGGTCCCAGAGCCACTTCGGGCTTGCGAGTCCTTTCTGAGCCCACAAATTATTTTCCCCCATTCCTGAGTTTATATAAATAGTCATTGGTAGTCAATGTCCACTGGCTGTTCTTCTTTGCCTGCGTCTGTTAATGCACATGTGCATGCATGTGTGTGTGGGTGTGTGTGCACACGTGCCGAGAAGAAAGGCCAAGCAGGGGAGGGCTGGGTGCCTCACCTCTGAGAACCTTCTATGGCAGAGGGTGGCCCTAGAGGAGGATGTGCCCAGGTCAGGATGTGATGACTGCTTTGGTGCTGTGTGACAACCTCTGGCTGCACCGTGTGCTAGACTTTCCCAGGGACCAGCTGGGTCTTGCAACTCTGCTCATCTGGAAGACTGAGCTGCCTCTAGAGACAGCCGTGCCCTCGTGTCAATCATAATTCACCATCAAGTAGCATCACCTTGAGGTTGGAAGGACAAAGACATACCCTGTGTATTCACACTGAAGGAATATGCCTGTATTAGTGGGGCAGAGCCAATGTCTGTGCCCCATTTGGAGGTTTGATGGCTCCAGTGAGCTGTGTGAGCCACAACTGGGACTTCAAACTTTTGCCCTTTATCAGAAGTTGCTCTTAAATCTTGCAAGGAAACCCACTACAAAAGACAGCATCAGGAATAGATCCTTCATAACTGGACCCTCTCCCTTCTCTCCCCCATCCCTCCACATTCCCCCTGCCCAGCACATTTTGCAAACCAAACCCCTTCTCCTTCGGATGGAGCATCTCTCCCAGACCCAGAGTCCCAGCAGCAGCACAGATCTGTGGACAGCCTCACAACTGCCCCTCCTACTTTGGAAGCAATTTGGCTCCCAGATAAGCTTCCTTGCACTGCATCTCTCTCCCATGCGGATGCCATACCGCCCAGTTATTTCTGCACATGCATGGCCCTTGCTCTGGTCTCCTAGGGCTCTGGAGGAGGGTTCTGAGCATTCTGAGATGAGGGTAACTCTCGGGCCTGCCGCATTCAGCAATCTCACAGCCTTCTCTTCATGCCAGCTTTTGCCGAGCTGCAGACAGACATCCATGAGTTGACCAGTGACCTGGACGGAGCCGGGATTCCCTTTCTGGATTACAGAACCTACACCATGCGGGTGCTGTTCCCGGGAACTGAAGACCACCCTGTCCTCCGGGACCTCGAGGTGAGAAGCAGTACCCCATCCTGCATTTGGGAAGGGGAACATGCTGGCCCTCTTCCAGGCCAGGCTCTCATTCGGAGGTGAGAAAGCTGAGGCTGGGGAGGGACACAACTTGCCCTGCAGAGGAGGTGGGACCAAGCCAGGGAGCCTCAGAGCAGAAATGTGAATAGGGCCATTCAGTGCCCTTTGAGAACTGAATGGAAATTGAAGACTCTCTCCCCAGACTGTATATATACACAGAAACAAGATATATGGCAAATAAATTTCAGGAGCTTGTGAACCCTTGTTTTAGAAACCACAGTGTAAGGGATTTTACACATTTAGTTGGTGCTCAATAAATATATAAGGGATTGTACCACTTGGTGCTTAGTTGGCAAAGATATATGCGATGTAGGGAAGGGAGGTGGAAATGTGAATGACAAAAATATAACTGTATTTCTACCAGCAGGGACCTCATCTTCTGAACATTTTATCCCACTTACTGTCTAGCATGGTGTCTGGCTTATGCATATGGTTATATTGTGCTTTGTTTCAAAAGAGCTTTGGAATGGCTTATGAAGACAAATATCAGAGAAAAATTTTAAAAATTGAGGAAATACGGGAAAATAATAATCATAAGAGTTGATTACTATTAGTTGACTGTTAGTTAATATCACAGCACAGTTTTAAGCATTTAACATGCATTCATGTAACCTCCCAAGAACCCTCTGAAGTAGGTAAGCCCATTTTACAGGTGACAAAACTAAGAGGCAGAGAAGTTCCATGGTTGTCTGGGGCCACACAGCCGGCAGGGGGCGGAGTGAGGACTGAACCCAGGCAGTCATACCCTAGAGTCTTCACTCCCAGCAACACGCCTGTGCGCCAGGCTTCTGGGTGCTGCGTTGGTGGCCTGCCTTACAGCTGTGTGTACTTATGAGGATGGATTGAAAATCTGCAGCTTGAGCAACAACAGAAAATAAGATTAATTCCAGAATTTGCATTGTCCGTAAAATAAAAACAGACCTATCACTAGAGAGTCGTACAGTTTTGCAGGTACTGACACCCGAGGGAACGTCTCTGTGGGCTCTCCACAGGGCTGTAGCAGGTTGTGCAGCTCTGCAGAAACACAGCAAGTCCTCAGGGACATCTGTGTGTGGCACACACATTTCTCCATCCTTGCTTGTTGAGTGAAGCGTGTGTGTGTGTTTCTACGTGAGGGCTTGGGCTTTTCTGTTTGGAGGAAGCTCCCCTTGGCTTCTCGGCTGATAGATGCCAAGAGGCACTTTCAGAGGCTGGGGGTGGTGGTCTCTATGATAATGTACCTTTTTTTCTGTCTACATCATATGTTGTATGTGTATGTAGTTACATGTAGGTGCATGTAGTTACATGTGTGTCATATATACAAATAACAGCACTGTGTGTGTCATGACGCTTTTATCTACCTGCTTCCTTGGTCTTACTCCTTTCCCTTGCTTCCCCCTCATTCCCACTCATTTCTCTTCCTTTTATCTTTTCTCCAGCCCCACCTTTACCTGTTTCAAAATACCAGGGTTTTTTCTTAGGGCACTGGAGAGCACGCATATTCCTGGCTAAAGTGAGACATAGGAGTGATGAAAAGATAAGATGAGTGCATGTGTGTGGTTGCATGTGTAGACTGTGTCCATACCTTATTTATCTTTGAAACTTTAACTCCGGAACAGAGTGCCTGGCACATAGTAGGCATGCAGGAAATGATGAACGATTAGATAAATGAAGGTCTGTGTGTCTGCCTGAATTAGAGTGGATGGCAGTCTTAGGAAATTATGTTTGAACATCCCTGTACACCCTTGTGGATGGGATGGAGAATAATCTAAATAAGAATTCAGCTAGGATGAGTATATACAGTTATTCTCCTTTTTTCACTAGCTCAAAATTCCAAGTCTAAGTAGGTTTCCTTTAAGGATGTAACTTACATGGGATTTTCTAAAAACTTTTGCTGACCCACATTAGCCTGGGGCTATGTGACATCCAGCCTCCTATGCAAGTCCAGGGAGTCTGTGAATCACTGTCTTCTTATTTGTTTGTTTCCAGCCCCTCCTTGCTACTGGAATAGTTTCTCCTTCTTGGGCTTCTGAGTATGGAAACATTCTTGAGGGAAGCCACTGATTAATCTAACGCAGTGTTTCCCAACCCTTTTGCTGCTCACTTTTGGGAAGTATAAAGAAGGAGGTGTCCTCTTGCTTCAGGCTGTCCTGGAGAGAAGGCCACCAGGCCCCATCTCTTGTGGCCCTCTGGGTGAAGTCCATTCATTCAGGGAAGGGGTTTCCCAGGCACTAGTCATGCACCAGTCCTTTAAAAATACAGAGCTGTCAATCACGTACTCCCAATTTCAACCTATCATTGGCTCCTAAACTCTAACCTATTGGGTTACAATTAAAATTTACTATCCAGTTTTATGCTCACAGACTTCAGCTAAATTAGAGAACCATCTGGTGAATAAAGAAACTCTTGTTCACAGCGGCGTTTGCTTGGGGGAGGGTGGCAGGCTATAACAGGGAATTGTTCTGGATACTTCTTACCAAGATACTTCCTTACCAAGGTATCTCCTCCCTTCATAAAAGGGGGAGAAGATTCCTACCTCCTGTAGCCCGAGACACTGTACTAATGCATTAGATAATCTTGGAAAGTCTCAGGCAAAAGGGATCTATGAAAAGCAGTCAATGGAGTCAGAAAGGCAGGTAATAAAACTGCTGCTGGTTAAGTGCGCACTGTGCATGCCAGCACTTTAGGTACATTATCATATTTAATGTGCATAAAACATTATGACATAGGCCCTTATATTCTCATTTTACAGATGAGGCAATAGAGCCCAGAGGTGACAGTTTTCCTCCACATATGAGTCATTGTGGTCTCTCTGATTCCAAATGCCATGCTGCTGACTGGGATGCTATTTCACTGCAGGCAGCTTTGCTAACACCTCCCTTCCCAATAGCCCCGGGCACTTGCTGCCCAGGAGGCATGTGCATTTTCCACACAGAGTCCAGAGTACATCCTCTTCCACCTCTCCAGATGCCACAGTGCCACACCTGCACATGGCTGCTCTCCCTTCAACAGCCAGGCTGAGTTGCAGGAGGCCCTGCACGGGAAGGCTGCAGGGAGAAGTCAGGGCCAGCTTCCAGACAGCTCCCAAGCCCAAGGGTAGGACTAGACATGGCGAATGATGGGCATGGTGGACTGGCTTAGAAATCCAGCACTGCCCTTCTCCAGTTAGGTGGCCTAGGGACAACTTCAGTAGCTTCTCGGAGAGACTATTAAAAGGGGATCGAAACTCACTCTCGCAAGGTCATTAGAAGAGTAATTGAATAATGTGTGCAGTGTGCCCAGTGCTGTGCATGGCACACAGCATGTGCCCTGGAAGTGGCATGATCTATTACTACTGGGACAAGTCATAGAGATGCTGTTCTGAGTGGTCGGAAGGACAGTGTAAAACTCGGGCCTGTGTGAGGGGGTGGCCACAGAGTTGAGGGGAGATCAGTGGGAGACTGGCAGACAGGCAGACTGAGTCCTGGGCTGATGGCAAGGGGAGGTTGCCGTGTCCCTTGCCCTTCTCTCACCAGCGCCTGGTGGAATGGGTCCCTGGGAAACCAGGGGTGAGGCAAGCAGAGGCTGGGCCCACCTTGGGGAGCCATGGGTTCTCCAGGAGGGGCTCTGCCAAGAGCCAGGATGAGTCGCAGGGTGGCCCTGGCCAGCGCCTGCCATACCCTGCTTGGCTCTGGGGAGTTCCCCTCTCTCTCCAGAGAACTGGCCCTCCCAGTACCAGCACTGCAGCAAGAGAGATGAAAATGGGCCTGATCTGGAAATAACGCCTGTTTTCTACCAGCGTCCAGACCCATGGGAGCTGTTGATGCCAGGCAACCAGGAGCATTCAGCAAGAGCTCTTCTGAAAGTACAGGGCAGGCCTGGAGTTCCTGTTACACTGTGGTATGGGCCTGTGACTCAGGAGCCGCCTCCTAGAGGGCCCTTGGGAGTGGGCCTGGGTCTGAGAGATGCCTGCCTATTGATAGCACCTTGCCTGAGCCCAGAACAGAGCAGGGCTCTGTAACCTGGGCAAGCAGGGCTTTCTCTGGCCACCTCCATCATCCCCAGTCTAAAACCTCAAGAGCAGAGCAGGAAGAAGCAGCTGCCAATTAGTAACTCAGCTGTGCGTCGCCCGTGCACCACAGGCTTTTCACACCTCCTTTCAGTCTGCACAGCGGCCCCAGGAGATGGTAGGACATGGTGCTGACTGCCCCGGTTCACGGCCTGTCCTGACTTGGAAAAGCTGCATATCCTCATGGGGCACCTGGGGTGATAATAGGACCTATCTCCTAGAGTGTCATGTGGATTAAATGGGTCAACATTTCTAAACACACAGGATAGTCCTTGGCATAGAGTAAGATCTACGTCCATGTGAGCTTTTATTACCTTCATTTTGCTGATGAAACTGAGTCTACTAAGCCATTTTCTAGTAAACGGCTGTGACAGAATTAAACCCTAGCTTGACCAAGCCTGGAACCAATTCTCAACTGCTATGTACTTGATGCTGCTCTCAAGGCCCTTGAGATGCAGCCTCAATGGCCCCTCCTCCAGCTGTGCCTCCTGATCTCTGCACCCCAGAGCCCTGATCCAGGAGACAAGCCCTGCCCAGTGTTCTCAGGAGGCTTCCCCTCCAGAGCAGAGCCTGTGATTGCTTTTTAAAGTCCACTTTTTGTTTTAATGGAAGTATACATACAGAGCGCACATTGTCAGTGCACACAGCTTGATGAATTTTCCCGAGTGCACATACCCATCAGGATCAAGAAGCATCCAGATCAAGAAGCAGAACATTCCCAGCCCTCCAAGGAGTCCCTGAGTGCTCCCTTCCAGTCACAGCCAACCCCCCAGAATAACCATTTTCCTGCCATCATTTGTTAACTTTACCTGTTTCTTAAATCCTTATTTAAATGGTACTTTAGCGTCTGCCTTTTCTAATCCAGTGTTTGCAAGATCCGTCGCTGTCATCATGAGCAGCAATAGAGGCTCACCCTCGCTGCTGAGTAGTATCCCTGTGGTTGCCATGGTCCCCCAGTCCATTCTCCTGCTGCTGGACTTCTGGGAGCTGCCAGTGCGGGGCTCTGAGAGCAGTGCTGCTGTGCACACACTCGTACATCTCACAGATGCAGCCTCTACGGCAGGCTCTGTCTCTGACTCACGTTTGCTGGGTGGATGGTACACCCTTGCGGGGAGCTTCCAGTTGACAGATGATGGAGGCAGGCAGATAAAATTGTCTTCCTCCCTTTCCCCTGGAGAGAGCAGGATCGCAGAAGGAGTCCCTAAGAAAATACCAGATGCTGGGGTTATTGAGTCCTTTAGAAACTGTTGAGCTCAATCTTCCCCTTTTTTCAGGTGGGACTTACACAAGGTAATACAGCATGATTTTGTCAGAGTCCATGTGGAACCCAGAAGTCCTGACTCTGAGGCCACCAGTCTGTCCATAGGATGCACAGGGCCAGAGAGAGGTGGGCATTAAGTTAGCCAAAGGCTTGGGCCTGATGATCCCTCAGCCAGGGTGTAAAGCACAGCAGCCCCAACCTGCTGAGTTCCCCACGGGGCTGTGAGGGTGGTCTGCCATGGCATAGGCCCCTCATCAACCCCTCATCTGGTGACAAACCAGACCTGAGGCTGTGGAGGCCAGCAGAAGTGAGTTCAATCCCGGTGTCACCATTTACTAACTGTGTGAGGCTCTTTCTGTGCCTCAGTTGGTTCATTTCTAAGCCAGAGGTAGTGACCCTCTCACGGGCTGTGATGGAGGTTAAGTAGGTTCTGAGCACAGTACCCAGCTCTCAGCAGGACTTGACAGCATTCACCAGGTGGGCTCTGGCTGGAGTAGCTTGTGACAGGTGGATGAGAGGGTCAACAGAGTGGGCTCCACCCATCCCACAGGGTGGTCACCAGGGCCCCCGGCAGGTGGCATCAGGACCCCCTTCTCCTCCACAGGTCCCTGGCTACCGACAGGAGCGTGTGGAAAAAGGGCTGAAGCTCTTTGCGCAGCTGATCAACAACAAGGTGTTCCTGCTGTCCTTCATCCGCACACTCGAGTCCCAGCGCAGCTTCTCCATGCGCGACCGTGGCAACGTGGCCTCGCTCATCATGACTGTGCTGCAGAGCAAGCTCGAGTACGCCACTGACGTGCTGAAGCAGCTGCTGGCCGACCTCATCGACAAGAACCTGGAGAGCAAGAACCACCCCAAGCTACTGCTCAGGAGGTGAGGGTGTGGCTCCCAGGCCGCGGAGGTCAGAGGCTCTCTCCCCAACCCAGGCCAGCCCAGCCCATTCTACTCACCATGCCCTCCAGGCAGGCCCGGCTGAGCTCTGGGAAGAGCAGCCTCATTCCCAAGTTTAAGGTGCTACCTGAAGACCCTGTCCATTCTGTGGGCACCTATGACTGGTCACCCTCTTGTTTTCCTTCTACCCCATATCTGCTCTCCATGCCTCCCTCTCTGCCTTCTACTCCCTTGATTCTGGCCCTTTCTACCAGAATTCTTCTCTTGTGGGAACTTCAGAGGCCCTTTAGACCATCCCCCAGCCTTAACCAAGTCAGAACTTGAATTAGGAGAGAGACCCCGTGGCCTCATGCTGTCTGTGGCCCAGCAGCTTGAGCAGCGCACAGGAGCTTGTTAGAAATGCCGAATCTCAGGTGCCACGCAGACCCACAGAATTAGAATCTGCATTTTGATGGGGTGATGGGAATGTGCAGTAAAGTTTGAGAAACTGAATACAAGCCCTGTAGTGACAGCTTACCCCATGCAGCCCAGCAAGGGTTTCTTGGCACCTGCTATAGACTCTGAACAGGTCCACCACTCAGCATCATTGGATGACTCAGACTCGACATCCTTGAACCTAAAAGGTCATATTTGAAGACAGAACCATATACTGTGGCTTCGGCCTTAGAGGAATAGAGACTCTCGCGGTATCTGTGCTGACACTTGAGCCTCCGTTTTCTCAAAGGCTATTTCTCCTCTAGGCTGTTATTCCAACATCTTTAGCCTCGGCATATCTGAAGTTGGGAAACTCCCACATCAAGTTGTTAAGTCCAGCCCCCCGCCTGGACCACCCTTTACCCTCTGCCTCTGTCTGCCTGTCCCCCTGACCTCCTTCCTTGGTTTCTGGGTCTGAGGCAGGGCCTCAGTGGCTCCTACTTGATCCAGGGAATAGGTTTGGCTTTCAGAAATGTTGACTTCATGCTTTTCCCTGGTGCGGTGGGCATTCACCTGCACAGCTGCAAAAGTTTGCCGCATATAGGAGCAATCATCCAGCTTTGGGAACAGCAAGGTAGATCATTTTGATTTTTGTTTTACTTTCACCACACAGCCACCCACTGGCATAATTCTAGGGTTGCCGCTGCCTGCCAGAGCTCCCACCGACAATTTCCCGGCGTGGTCTCGCTCTGTCTCTGCGTCTCCTCCTCCTGTTTTCTGTTTGTGCTCTCCCAGATGCTGTCGCTCCCTTCTGCTCTTCTCTGTCTCTTTTCTTCTTTTTGCCCCTGGCTGCCCCCTGCTTTCAATCTTTGTCCCTCTTTTCTCTTCCCAGCTTCATTTTGTGCTGGCAGCTGCCCAACTGCCTTGAGATTTGAGTTATTAGTATTTTCTGGCAGCTGCAACTTTAAACTCTATCCAAACATACCTGGATGAGCTAGTTTCTCTCCAGAGCTAGCCACACGCTTAGTTCAAGTTTGAATGTAATTCATTTTCTCTAAATGGATGCAACCAAAGTGTCCTTTGGCTGATAACATGCCTGCCACATCTTTGCTTCCAAAGTAAAGGAATAGGTGGGTTTGGGTTGTAGTATGCAAGATGCAGGTTAGACTAAAGAAGGAACTTCCTGTCATTGCAAATGAAACACTAGAAGGAGTCCAAGAGGAAGTTCCAAAGTATGTGGAAGACTTTGAAATAGGATAATTTTGACATCTCTTGGAATTGCTGCCAGTGCTGGGAGTGCTGGGAGACTTTAGCTTAGGTTATGGGCTCAGTCTGGCCTATCTGGCCTTTTTACCGTGTCCCCCTTCTCCTGCCACCTTTCTTCCTTTTCTCTGCCAAATTAGTAGATCCCCAGTTTTTTTGTTTTACTTTCTCATCCAGAGGAATACATCTAATCTGTAAAGTTCTCTAAAGCTATACTATTCAATATTATAGCTACAAGCCACATGTGACTATTTAAATCTAAATTAATTAAAAATAAATAAAATGAAAACCTTGAGTTCCTCAAATACACTGGCCACCTTGCAAGTGTTCAACAGCACATATGGCTGGCAGTCAGCACATTGGACAGCATCGGCAGAGAAAATTTTCATCACAGAAAATGCTATTGGACAACGGTGCTCTAAGGCATTCCTGTAAAAGACCCACCCATGAGCCCGATGCCCAAAATGTCACCTCCCAGCTTTGTAGGAAAAGCTTGCCTTAACATTATGGGGCTGTCAGGGAATCTGTGACACTCTCGTATTCATTAGGATCTCAAGATTTGCCCTAAAAGCTCTAATAGGCAAGATCAGTGCAGACTCCTTCCCCTCCCCTGCCGGCCACTGGCTCTGACCCACTGCCTCTTTCTTCTCTGTTCTGCTGGTTCCCTCGGTGGCTGGTGACAGGACTGAGTCAGTGGCTGAGAAGATGTTGACCAATTGGTTCACTTTCCTCCTCTACAAGTTCCTCAAGGTAGGATTGGATGTGGGCACATTTCTGGCCTTGTCTCAGGTCCCCATCTGCCTGGGCATGAATCTTCATCCTCCCCAGCCTGCCCTGTTTCCCTCCGTGCCCCCAAGTACACCCTTACCTGGGCCTGGCTCCTGTAACCCCACAAGAGATGGAGCTCCCCCTCATCATGGACTCTCTCAGAAGACAGAGCCCTGCAGTCAGTCCTAGCTACAGAGACACCGTCCCCCAAAGGCTGGTTTCCTCCCAGGTGAGGGACAGATAAGCCTATGAGATGGCTCTGCATGATCCCTAAGCTTGATTCCCATTTGAAGCCTAAAACAATTCTCCCAATTAGTTCACAGCTGTCCCTATTCCCTCTCCCAGCCCCAGGCTTACTGAGGCTGATTAGGGTCCCGGCAGGTAGAGAAGCCACATGTTGAGGCAGATAAGCCAACCATGTACCTGGGAGGAGAGAGAGCTGCTCAGCTTCCAGTTATTCACTTGTTTTCTAAGGATCTCGCACCACAGAGGACTGACCTCTGCCTTTTGACGGGGCCTCAGGAGAGCGAAGTGGGGCAGAGTGGGGAGGAGGAGTCAGGAAGGAAGGAAGGGGGAGCTCTGGAAGGGTGCTAGGAAAGGGCAGAATGGGAGAAGACCCTGTGATCCAAAGTGCCAGGAAGGATGCAAATCCGAAGAGTAAAGAGTTGGAGAAGAGGAGATTGAAAAACTGAGCCAAACAGAGGGTGGAGACAGGAGAGACGATTGGCAGGAAGAGTGGAAAGCAGCCGTTTGGAGAAGCAGGGGGCGGGCTGTGCACACCTGTGGTCCAGGAGCTCTGCCCAGACAGGTTCCTCTCCCTTCCAGGAGTGTGCTGGAGAGCCCCTTTTCTCCCTGTTCTGTGCCATCAAGCAGCAGATGGAGAAGGGCCCCATCGACGCCATCACGGGGGAGGCCCGCTACTCCCTGAGTGAGGACAAGCTCATCCGCCAGCAGATCGACTACAAAACCCTGGTAAGCCCAGCTCACTGCTCTCTCTGTGGCTCTGGCAAGCTTCGGTCCTGGGCAGCCCTGCCCAGCAGAGGGGATGGCAGAGATGCTGAGAGCCAGCTCTCCAGGTTTGTTGGCTGCACTGGCCCAGCCAGGTACTCCCCCACGCCCGTCACCCAGGACTTTCTCAGTACTACTGCACCAGGGCATCTGGATTTGGGGACCAGTGGCTCAGACCCACCTGAGCAACACTTCAGCACTGGTGTGGTTCCAGTGGGGAAATTGTGGGGTCAGAACCCCTGCCAACAGCTGGCCAGCTGGCCCAGGTGAGCTCCTCAGCAGTTTCCCCAGTGTGGAGAATGATGCGTCCTTCTCAAAATTCCCATGCAGGCAGCGGGGGAGGGCAGGAAGCAGAGGAAACCAGAAGGAGTTCCTAGTGGTTCTGAAGCCCACACGTGCTCACTAGTCTAAGTTCAAATACGACTGTGACCCGAGCTGCATAATGCCAGGCCACGACGACCTAGTGGTGTAAAACATTTGTCCAAGCAACAGAGTATCTCCTCCGTCAAGGCCAGACTCCCTCACCTGATAGAAACTGTTGTCCCAGGGGGTGCAAAGCTCAGCATTTAGGAATACAGGAGTTGGAATCAGACAGATTCGGATTCAAGCCCCGATTCTGCCTCTGACCAGCTGGGTGATTTGGGACAGGTTCTTAATCTCTCTGAGTCTGGGTTTATTTATCTGAAAAAAAAAATGAGGCTAATATTAGAACCTACTCAAGTGAGGATAGTAACGATTGTCTAGAGGATCAAATGGGACAGGAGGCACAGGCAGTGAGCCCAACGTCAGAGGTCCCTAATGCTGGCTCCTGTAGCCCTGCCTGCCTCTTCCCACCGTCTCTGCAAGCCCAGGGAGCTCACTCGCAGGCTTTTGTGGAGAGAGCCGTCATCTCTTACCAGGACTTTTTCTCCAAGAAAGGGGGAGCAAGTGGAAGAAAGGAATGAGAAAATAAGGTAAAAGCTGAGTGACAAGGATGACACGCAGGTGGCCCCCAACGTGGGAGGCAAGAGAGTCAGCAGGGGAAGAGAGAGGACAGTGACAGGTGGGACTTAAAGTGCAATTGTCAGGCGGGGAGACAGGAGCAGGGCAGAGCTGGGGGGGAATGTAATTCTCAGACAACCGCTCCCACTGCCGTGAGCCGGGGGTGAGTCCCCAACCCTGTGGCCAGCTGGGGAGACAGTCCCTACCCCTGAACAGAGCCATCCCTGCTGGCGGGGAAGGCTGTGACCACGATCCACCTATCCCACTCCCATTTTTGGAGAGCCCTGGGAATCCCAGTAGACATCTGCACAGATTTGCTGGGATTGGCTCACTGATGAGGATTCCAAGGAACAGCGTGTGAACTGCTTCCTTGCAGTTTCCGTCTGCTCTGGAGGAGAGAGTTAGAGGCTCCAATTAAAATGAAAAAGGGGGAAAAGCCCTTCCAAAAATAGAGACCTGAATGGATTTCTCAAGGAGACAGAACTACCATTTAAATGTCTCTGCCCCATCTCTCCCCTCCACTTCCTTTCTTTCCTGGCACATCAGTGGCTTCCCAATGTTGAATCCAACACAATGAGTTGTAATAATGCTCCACCCCCAAATTGCAGCATCCTTTACTCCAGAGGGCAAAGTGTTGTGGGCGCACCAAGCTGGTTTCAGGTGACTCAACTGAAAGAGCACATGAGGAAATTGGAGTGGGTCAGGGACACACAACCATTAAGGTAGAAGGACTTGGGAAATAGGAAAGAAATTGCAAACATTTTGCCTGGAGAAGAAATGGCTGCAGAAAGATTGAAATAGCCATCTTCAGGCCTGGGAAAGGATACTTTCACCTGTGGAGGGGAGATCCCAATCGGTGGTGAAGCTGGAAAGGAAGATGTGCTGGACGGCAGCAGATGGGGCATGCAGACTCCAGGATGAGCGGGTCAAATAAACAGATGGCAAGTCATGGAATTTGGCAGTTTCTGGAGGAGCCCAGCACACTTTGGGCCTGTTGATAGTAACGTTATCCTAGGTGGAGGAATAACACAAAGAGGCTCTGACTGGCTCAGGGGAAATGGAGTACACCACGTTACGGTCGGGTGCATCTCCTGTGTTGAGTGCTTGATTGGACTGATGCTAGAGCTTGGACTAGCACAGCCAAGGGCCCTGCTGCTGGGAGTGTTTCCAGGACCAACATCCCCAACACCTGGGAGCCTGCTGAAGTACTAGATGGTCACCTGGGACACTGCTGAAGTACTAGATGGTCACCTGGGAGCCTGCTAGAGCATGAGATGCTCATCTGGGAGCCCACTAGCTGTCTAGATGCCTGCCTGGGAGCCTGCTAGAGTATGACATACTGACCTGGGAGTCCACTAAAAGGCTAGATGCCTACCTGAGAGCCCGCTAGATGGCTAGATGTCTACCTGGGAGCCTGCTAGAGATCTGGATGCCTGCCTGGGAGCCTGCTATAGTGCTAGATTCCCACTTGGGAGCCCACTAGAGATCTAGATGCTTACCTGGAAGACTGCTAGAGCACCTGACAGTTACCTGGGAGCCTGCCAGAATGCAGAATGTCAGGCCCCATCCCAGACGTCCTGGATCAGAATCTGTATTTTTAACAAGATCCTCAAGTGATTCTACCCACATTGAAGTTTGAGATGCACTTCCCTAGCAGAGAAAACACCAGGCAGTTTGTTCAGAAACTATCCAAGGAGTATGGGGGAGGGGAACTTCTGGGTGGAGCTGGGGCTTGGCCAGTGGCCAGGGAGCACTGTCCTTCTGTGGGACCACTGCTTCCTCTCTGGAAGGTCAATCCCTGCTCGAGCATGCCATGAAGTTACCTGAACCTGTGGGGCAAGTGGAAATGCCAGGAGGTCACACTTGGGTGACAGCCTCTGCCTACGGTCTCTGGGAGCAGGAAGCGCAGAAAAAGCTGTGTTGCTGCCTGGGGGAGGCTGGGCCACCACCACTGGGTCAGAGGACAGAACAGCAGGGGAGGCCAGAGCAGCAGGAAGGCTCAGGCTGTGCTCAGTCACTGAGCAGAGCGAGGGGTGCAGGAAGGCTCTTAGAAGAGGGAGGGCTGGGGCTGGGCACACATGGACCACGTGGTCCACAGGGCCTTCCACCACCATTTTCCATTTAGGGCATCTTGAGGGTGAGAGTTTGGTTTTATAGATTTAGGGGATTTTTTTCTTCTTTGCCTTAATGGAATAAGCATGTTTGCGTTTGAGCTCATAGCAGTCTAGTTGCTAATGAAAGCAGGCATCCAGGGCCAGGCTTCTAATTGCCACCACATGGAGCAGGAGGGGGTGGGGTGGGAGGGAGGCTGTTGTCTGGTTCTGCAAACCAGACAGGACAGTTTGGAAATGGTTGTGGGGGGTGGAGGGAGTGAAAGTTCAGAGAAGGAGAGAGACACACAGGGGGCTGGGTCGACAGTGTCAGAGGGAGAGTCTGGGAGCCCAGAATGGCAGGGCCACATGGCAGCAGCACTCCCGTGATGCCCAGGCCTCGCTACCCTGCCCACCCCTGTACCACACAGCACCCACCCCTGACCCTGCAGTTCACCCAGGAGCCCATCATGAGAACAGCAAGGGAAGAAAAGATATGCACTTTTTTTTTTGTCCTTTTTGAGACCGGCCGCACCGCACTCAGCCAGTGAGCACTGTGAGCGCACCGGTCATCCCTATATAGGATCCGAACCCGCGGCGGGAGCGCTGCCCAGCGCTGCACTCTCCCGAGTGCGCCACAGGCTCGGCCCAAGATCTGCACTTTTAAAAAGAAAAGCCCAGAACTTCTTAAAGGAAAAAATATAGTTTGGTAAATCCAAATGTCTAACTTGTCTGACTAATTCCCAAAAGGGAAATGGAGGCCCTGAGCCATGCCATGGCCTCGTCCCATAACACAGGGTTTTGGGGTCAGAGCCAGGGAGGAATCTCAGGTGGCTTGAACCTGCAGTTTTTAAAGGACACTGTTTTATTTTAAAGAGTACATTAAGCTTCGTATAGATTGTCCAACCTCCAATCAGCCTGAAAACCTCACAAAAATCGATGCTTATGAAATCTTTTGAGAAAGGGGCCAGATTCTCATTAGTTCTAAGCATGAGCATGTCTGTGAGATGGAGCACTAGGAATGACAGCCCAACGCACGTGGGTGGCCGGGGGCTGAGGCGGGCGAGGGTCTGGGCGTGCGGCTGGGATGGAGCGTGTGCATTCGCGGCCATGCTGTTGATTAGTCCCCCTCCCTGCCTCCAATGCTTGGACATTGTTCCCTTTGAAAATCAGGATTTGAATGAGGTGTGGTGTGACAGGGAGTTAAGTGTGCAGCTCATGCTGCTGCCTTGATGTGCAAGCCATGGTGTCTCCCCATTTAGACAACAGAGGAAAGTGGGCTTGGTGGGGACACAGATGGGCTGGGGTCACCCACCCCTCTCCAGTCTGTCCTGGAGAGCAGGAGCCATTCACGACAGTGTCCCAGGACGCTGCTGGAATCTCGGAGCGCTTCCTGCTGCCCTCACCCTTACGTCTCCTCCCCCCGGCACCCCCCAGGTCCTGAGCTGTGTCAGCCCAGACAATGTCAACAGCCCCGAGGTCCCAGTGAAGATCCTCAACTGCGACACCATCACTCAGGTCAAGGAGAAGATTCTGGATGCCATCTTTAAGAATGTACCCTGCTCCCACCGGCCCAAGGCTGCAGATATGGACCTGGGTGAGTAGGCTGCCCACCCAGGGGACTGTCCCTGTGGCTGGTCTTGAGCTCCTCCCGCCTTCTCCTGCCAGCAGCAGGCAGAGCTGGGGTGCAGGGAACAGAGTGGAGGATCACTGGCTGGAGGGCTCAGGCATGCCCGTCCCCCAGCAGCCCATGGGGTTTGCCTGCTTAGAATTGGCAAGAGCTGATCAGTGGGCAGTGGTCAGAGAGGGGACCACAGGTCACTTGGTGGTCTGTTGGCGATCTGAGGTTAAACCTCTGGAGTCCTTTGAGTAGCTGAGGGGTGGGAGTGGATGAGCCATATCTGGAGTGAAGGGATTTAAGGGCAAAGTCTGCTAGTGTGAGCCCCTGTGGCCCAGGGTCTGGTGCCTTCGTTGTCCTCCCAGACTCATCCTTTCCCCTCTGTTCCGTGCCTATAATTTCTGCTGAATACCTATGGTTTGAGGGATCTGGGTCAGAAATAGAGGACAGAAAGAAAGAATAGAGAAAAATGAGATATGACAGCCTGCTGGGGAGCAGGACAGCATTTTATTTGAATGTTCCATGAATAGATCGCATAGCCTGTATAAACAAGGACATGCCACTTAGGGCCAGCCACACTTATATCCAGTTAGGGTTTGCCCAAGTCTTTCACAGGATGTTATCCTGGGGAAATCCTTGTTGGGAGCTCCAGGCTCTGAAGAGACCAAGGTGGAAGAGAGTTCCACATCATGGGCCAGTGTCAACACACATGGATTTGAGTCCCATTGCCACCAACTCCTAGCTGTGTGATCTTGGTCAAGTTACTTAACCTTTCTGTGCCTTACTTTCCTGGCCTATAAAATGGAAATAATAATCATACCCGCCCCATAGTGGGAATGCAATGAGACGATGCACATGCAAGCCTCTGTCAGGCAGTGCCGGGCCTGCAGTACACACTCAGTGAGGATTGGCCGCTGCTTCTGCTGGCTATGAGGACAGCACTGGTGAGGGCACTGTACATGCCTGGGCATGAAAAGAAAGGCGTGGTGCGTGAATGTGTGCTTGTATCTGGGGATTCGTGGCCACATGGGGGTGGGAGGGCCCTCCAGAGGCCCCTGATCCATCCATCTGGCCTCTAAGCTGGCTTCAGCTAAGCCATCCAAGAAAGATGGGCATCTATGCCATTGTCCAAATTCAAGAGGAAATTTTCATGCCCTCCCAGTGCCTTGCCCCACCTACCCCCAAATTCCGATGCCTAAAGACTCTTAGGATCAGAAGTACTGCGAACTCCTGAAATTCACACTTCCTCATTTGTCTCCATCTCCTCTTGGCTGGCCCTTACCTGGATGTGTTTGGCCCCAAGCCCTGAGCTCAGATATCGAGGGAGAGGTACCGGGTAAGCATGTGTCACTTGGGAGGTGTCTCTGAGTATGTTGCTTCTGGGACATGAAGGAAGCAAACGTGAGATGAGAGCAGGTGGTGGGGTGGGGGTGGGGTGCACACACTGTGTCCCAGGGAACTGGTCCCTAGTGTCGGAGTGGACAGACTGTCTGTATGCATGTGACTTGCTTCTGCTGCTGTGAAGCTCCCAGAGACTACTGAGGGGAAGAGGGGCCTGTTGTGAACCAGCAGGAGAGAAAATGTTACTGGAAGGAAGACTCTTGTGTCTTTCACCCCCCAAGCAATAGAGTGGGGTGCTCCCTGATGGGTTTTCCAGGGAAAGGTGAGTTTAGTGGGGTAATGGGTGGCACTCACCATTCTTTTTGTTTGTTTTATCCATGGGACCCATGGCAGGGCCCACCTTCTGCTTCTCAGTATCCTTATCTGCAAAATGGGTGGGAGAAGATCCCAGACAGGGTGGGATCGAGAGGGAGAGCTGTCATCAGGACATGGATCTTCGCACTGGAAGGCGAGTTTGCAAAGATTGTGCTAGAACATGGAAGCAGCTCCTGAGTGGGGTGCATGTGGTGTGGGTGCTTCTGTGCTTAGGAATGCCCTGACCTTCCATGGGCACCAGCAGCAGGTGGCTCCATGAGTCTACCTGAGAAATAGTGGCTCAGTCTTGCACTGGAACAGTTTCTCTTTCTGACCAGAAAATGTCAGATGGGTTGGTGACCAGCAGCTGAGTCCTGTGGTGGCTTAAACACCTGATGGAGCTCAGGAAAGGGTGAGCCAGCGTTCTTCAGCATCACCTCAAGCCCAGCTAAGGCGGGCGTCCTGTGGAAGCAAAAGCAGGGACCAGCCCTTCCACGCCTTCTGGGTATCCTGGAGAGAATGTTCAGTGGCTGGCAGCTGCTACTCAGTCCGTCCCACCCGGAAGCCTCATGCCCCGAGCGTGGGAGGGGAAGAGGCTGCTTGTTGGCTTTAGAACATGGCTCCCTTAAAAGGCCCGGGGTGCAAGCCCAGCAAAGCAAGGTTTTAATGAAAAGATGTGAGGCGTTCTGCAACCATAGTCACAACCATCTGCAGAGGGGCTGCAGCGCCCAAGGCAACTGCTGGTGCTTCCTGCCATTGGCGAAAAGTGAAAAGCCAAGAGCCACTCAGCAAAAGGACCTGCCCCAGGGTGGCCACCCTCTCTCGCTAGAGGCTGCTCAGGCCAGAAAAGGCCACCTGCTCCTACTGGGAGCAGGTCTCCAGTGACACAGTGCTCCTCCGACGCCTCCTGCTTCAGGAGCCCACAGGAACAGCACACGTTCTTCTGGGGCCACACCTGGAGGATGAAGGCCCCTGCAGCAGGGGCAGAAAGGAGAGAAGCCAAAGAGGAGGGGAAGGGACCTCCTGCTGGGCTCCTTGGAAGGCCCTCCATGCTCAGCCATGTGGGTGCTCTTCTGAGATGTTTTCTTTATTTTCCTGGTAAATCCAGAGTTTGGAGCTGCTCCCAAAGCTCTGGGCTTCTTCCTACCAAAGTCAGATTGTGTAAGGAAAACAGGGCCCCCTCGGAGACCCAATTGCTTCTTCCACACTATGCCACATGTGGCCCCCCAAGGGCAGAGAGAGGCAGGCAGGTTGTTCCTATCATGTATGTGAAAGCCTCCAAGCAGTTTACAAATGTAAGATATGATTATCATCAAAAATTAATCTCTGCTGAGAGACGCATGGCAGGCAGCACAGAGAGGACACACTCGGCCACACATGTTGGGCAGAGGCCGGACAGCCAAGCACACCCCCCACACACACGCACTTTCTCTGCCCCCACCATGCCGCCGCCTCCTCCTGCACATGAAGGCATCAGGCAAGGGCTGCTTCCCACTCCTGATGCCCAGCCCTGGCAAGGCAGGGCGACCTGTCCAGGCCAGCTCAGAAGGAAGCAAAGACATTTTCAGTGCCCCCCGTCATTGCCCCAAGCAGACCCAGCCCCCTCCCTTGCTTGGCTCTTGGCTCCGCCTTTCATCGTCACCGCAGCCCCTGGCCTGGCCCAGCTCCTCATCCCCAATGCTTCTCTGCGTCGCTCCTCTGGTTGCAGTGGTCCTCCCTTCTCCCTCCACCCCCTCACCAGACCTTTCCAGGTGTTAAGGAACCAAGATGGGGAAATGTATGGTAAGAGTTTTCCAGAGAAAAAGAACCAGTAGGGTGTGTGTGTGTGTGTATGTGTGTGTGTGTGTGTGTGCATAGAGAAAGAGAGATTTGTTTTGAGGAGTCGACCACCCAAGTATGGAGACAGGCAAGTGCAAAATCTGCAGGGTAGGCTGTTAGGCTGGAGATAACAGCAGGAGCCAATGCTGCAGTTTAAGGTCAAAGGCCACCTGCTGGCAGAACCCCTCTTTCTCCCAGTAGGTCAGTCTTGTGTCCTCTGTGAGCCTTCCACTGATTGGATGAGGCTCGCCCACATGATGGAGAGCGATCTGCTTTACTCACAGTCCACACTGATTTAAATGGTAATCTCATACACAGACACTGTCACAGAAACAACTAGAATAATGTTTGACCAAATATCTAGACACTGTGGCCCAACCACACTGACGGAATTTACCATCACAGGAACCGGGGTGAAGGGGCCCACCGTCCTTGCAGTCTCTTGGAATCTGGGGAAGGAAAGCTATCACTGGGGTGCAGGTTGGGGACTGTTCTGAGGTCCTCAAAACCCACTGCCCAGATGGCACCCCCTCCGCTATACATAAGGTTGTCTACACCAAACTTATGTCCCTTTCCACCCATAGATATCTGGGCAGGATAGGTGCCCATGTGCCTTGTTAAACTCCTCGACAAACATATCGTAAGTGCCTACCTTGTGGCAAGGTCTGTCCAGGCATAGGGGTACCAATGCAACTAGGAGACGTTCCTTATTTTTCAGCATAGTAGCAGAGGCAAGACACATTTCTGTCTGAGCTAAGGGGCTATTTTTGTTTCCTCCCTTCACTCCCTGGAGGAAATACTTGGTGCCGTTCTGTTCCCCTGCACAGAGGAGAATCTGCAGCTCCGAGAGACACAGTGCCTGGGCCCGGGTCACACAGCAGGGAGGTAGAGAGAACACCCATCCCTCGCACACAGCCTCCTTCCAGACCGGTTTCTTCTCCCCTCCGCAACTGCCTGTGACCTCCAGTGATTCCTCTAGTTTAATGCAAATCCTCTATCAATAGCCCCCGGAACACAGCCACTCCTTCCCTGTCTTGCCTCTCGAGTTGTGCTGAAAGGATATATTTTTTCAAATAAATAATTCCTGTATGCAATAAAAAGATACACTATCTTGTGAGTGAAATATAAAGAGTTCACAGCAGCTGTCTCCCCAGTTTGCATTTTCCCCTGAACCTGATGGGAAGGACAGATAAAGATAATGGGATTTTTTTTTCTTTTTTCTTTCACCTCCCTCTCTCCCTGGAAGGTGGAAATGTAACAAATTGGATCGTAAGTGTGTCTGTCCTTTGTGCTTCGTGCCTGGAGCAGGGCATGGTGCTGCCAGGCCGAGCCGCTGTGAGAGAGGTCAGAGCTAGCAATTTTCTGTTGGTGCCTTGCATATGAATGCCAGGGTCACCTTTCCTTCCTTCCCCCTGCCACCACCTACCTTTTAAACTTTTCTTTGGCCCACCGCACCACCCAGAGCGACATCAGAGCCCCGTGTTCCATATTCAAGAGTATCCATTAAGCTCTAGCTTGTCTCTGTTCAATCCGGTAGCAGGTGCTGCCTTCCAGACATCTGCAAATAGCAGTGACTGACTGGTGCAGAGCATTTTACAGTTGACCAAGACCTAGTGCCCTAAATGCAGATGACACGCTTCTCTTTAGCAATTTCTTCTTTTAAGCACCAAGTTTCATAGTTCAATCATTTCAAGTTTGAGAACTTGCTATCACAGTAAAATTATTCTTTTTTTTAATAACAAAACATTTTTAGATGGTCACCTCTCCTGCTCCCAGCTCAATTTTCTGCCCTTTTCAGCAATCACATTCTGATCCTCTCATAGCCTCTCCTAGCTCTTCTCTGGTGCCTGCCCCCAGCACTTCAGAGTGGCCAGGTATGGAGAGTCTCAGGGCTCTCTGCCAGGTGTCTCCTTGGGGCTCACCTGCTGGCAGGTATGTGGAGCAGTGGACTCAGGTCTCCTCCTTCAGCCTCCTGCTCCAGGCCCCTATGTTTTGAGGTGGAGTGGGTCCCATTCAGGGCTGGTACGTGCTCCTGGTAAGAACCTGCACACAATGCTGAGGACAGGTGGCTTGGGGGGAAGTACAGGCATCTGGCTGTGAAGTCCGTCCCAGGTGGATGGTGCAGGTTGATTCTGCCAGCTTTGACTAGCCTGCTGGGTGTCTCCTTCCTCCCTCGCCTGTCTGCATCAGACCCTCCTGAAGTTCCTGTGATGGGTCTGAGGAGAGATGGCGATAGGAAGACTAGAAGGGGGGTTGTTGCAAAGCCTGAAGAGTCTGCAGCCGGGGCCCACCGGTGCACACATGTATGCATGTGTGTGTATATGTGGGGGTCCCCATGTACTCACCTGCACGCGCACACTGCTAGGGCAAGAATTAGTGTGGTTTTGTGCGCCCTGGAAAGGGTTTCCTCTCAGCGTGTCACCCGCTGACACATAGCAGCCTTTCCCAGAGCCTGGCCAGAGATGTCCTCAGTGCCAGGGTCTCCTTCCAGGTTGGCCTGCAGATGGCCCCTTCCCTCCTCTAGCCCCAGCTCCACTGCCAACTGCGCTCCTCCTCACAAACTTGGGGGGATGTCATGCCATGTGACACCTCCCACCTCCCCTTCCCTGGAGAGTCTCCAAGCACTGTCTGGCCTGTCTCCTGAACATTCCTTAAATCCACCCTGTGTCCACTGCTTAGCTCAGGCCTCCACCATGGCTGCTGGGGCTTCCTGCCTCCTGTCCCTCCAGCGCTCTCCTCTCCTCCTCCACGCCCTGTCCTCAAGGCACTCAGCTCGAGCCCAGACGCCCTGGCACAGCTTGCTGGATCTCTCCTAACTCAGCTCCTGACCTCTGTGTGCCTCTCCAGCCTGTCCTTCCAACTTTCTCCCATGAGGACTCATAGATCCCCAGAAGGGTCACAGCAGTGCCAGCCCTGGACCAGCACACTTGCCCCCTTGCTATTCAGGCAACACCTGCTCACCCTTCACAATTCCACCCGGACAGCCCTTTCCAGCCCCCTCCCTCTCTCACCTCCACCTGCCCTGACTACTGGGCCCCCGACTCCCGGGCTCCCGCATGGCTTCTCCGTACAGGGAGCCCCTCAAGGGCAAGGGCTTTTGCTTTATTCTGTTTCCTGTTTGCCACCCCGTATCCTGCTGGTCAGTGTCGCTTGATGAGTGGGTGAGAAGGGAGCACTGAGATCCATGGATCTGGCGGCCACAGCAGATGTCTCTTATTAGACAGGACAGTCGGGACAGTGTGTGGCCTAGTCCAGAGGAGGCGTTTGTGAGGAGTTGCTCTGTCCCAGGATCCATTTGGTGCTCACCGAGCTCAGCACCTCACATCATTCGGGGCCTTGGAGATACTTTCCAGCCTCTCACTGCACCCCGAGGGCAGGCAGAAAGTGTCCAGAAGGGTTGTCATTCACCCTGGGGGCGCTGGTTAGTGGCCGAGCTGTCACCTTGCCCCTCAGCTGTTCTAATGCAATCACCGCATACACAGCAAGGTGTGGACACAAAGACACGTATTTTTAGTGCTATTTTTATAGGCAAGACAGAGGGAGCCTATCTGGTAAAAAGAATGCTGGACTAGGGATTAGGAGACCCACGTTCTGTTTATTCTCACCATTTGTATTAAACCTAAGCATATGTTGAATATACAGCAACACACAGAACACAAAATTAGGTGCAGCCCATGCTTAAGGCCTCATGAGGCTTATTGAACCAGCTATGGACACTGCCAAGGGGACCAGGGTGCTGTCCTTCCTATCTAAAGGTGGCAGACCTGCCTCACCCTCGACTGCCCCAACTGATTTGGGGTCCTTTACTCCTGTGGGGGGGATGAGAGTTCACGAAGCCCACCTTGCAGTTTGGGAGAAGCCAGCTGCCTTGGCCTTTGACCTTGGCCTCTCCCGGTCCCGGCCGCCCTCAGTAGAGCTTGGTGGCTGCTGCCTCTGTGGGGAGAAGATTGTGGAGTAGGGCAGGAGCACTCCATAAGGCCGAGTCTGTCCCCACTATTGGACTCTCTTGAGACATTCCATGATGAGTCCGACAGGGTGGAAGGAAGGACCCTGGGCAGGGAGGAGTGGGCAGGGACTGGCGGTTTCCTCGTGGCTCCTAGAACTGCTCTGTGCCACGGAACGCGGCTGCCTCCCCGTGGGACTCCACACTTTCTCCTGCCTTCAGGGTGGGCGACCAGTGGCTGCTGCTTCCTTCCCACGGTCCCCAGGGCTGGAGCTGCCAGCACTAGCCACCTGTCCTCTTGGCTTTCTTTCGTCAGGACTGGGTTGGGAATGGCACAGAACTTTTGTTTTTCCCCCTTCTTTGACATTTCAGAAAAAAGCACAGAACCATTTTTTCTGTATAAGAGATAACAAAAATAACAGACTCAATGGATCTAAAGACAAGGATAAGTGTTCTTCTTGGTTCCAGTTCGCTACCCTCATATAGGTATTTGGAGGAATATTCCAAACTTTTTGAGATAACTGATAAAAGACAACAGTTGCTCCCTCCCCGCTGCCCACTGGTAGCCCTGGCAGAGGCAAGGAGCTGGGCCAAAGGGGCTGTAGGCCTGGGGCAGCCCCGAGGCCTCTTCTTGCAGCCGTTGAACTTATAACCAAGCATTGACCATCTCCCACTGCCCCTTGCACAGCATCGCAGCTCATAATCTCAGCTGGTGGGGGAGGCATGTGGCCACCCCAGCAACACAACTTGATTTTGTGGAAAGAGAAGAGTGTGGCCCAAGGAAAACTGCCAGTGGCCTGCTTGGACTCCTAGAGCTCCAGGTATGAAGTTAGTGGAGACAGCTACCTGCCAGCATCACGGCCTGGCTGCAGCGTGGGTAGGAGTCCAGCCATCACTCTCCTTCCCCCACACGCCAGACACATGGTTGATCCTTAGGTGGTGGGCACCATACTGCAGTGCCCAAGCTGTGTCCATGTCTGCCTTCCCCATAAGGAACATCCAGAGTGCAGGGCCTAGTCCTGTGCCCAGTCCAAAGGAGGAGCTCAGTAAGTGCCCAGGGAAAGGACTCATCTGGTTAGTGGGACGAGCAGTGGTCTGGAGATGATGGTCTTTATGTCTGTTGTCCTGATCCGTGTCTTTCATTTTCCTGGTCATAAAATTGGAAGAATGGGGGGCAGAAATTTAAGAGAATTCTCACTTCCGGCAGTGGGAGAGCCTGGTTGTGTCTCTCAGTTCAGATAATTGTTTGTTGCCAGTTGCTAACAGGGTAGCTCACGGTTTGCCTCTAACCACAGCCCACTGTCTGCCTGCCATGGGATGCAAACATACAGGCACAAGACTTTTTTTTACTGTTTGGAAAATAGGCCACCGTCACTCACTCACTGTTCCTCCTTCATTCGCTCATTTGTTCATTCATTCATTTAGTAAATATTCATTAAATGCTTACCAGGTTCCAGGTGCTGGGCTAGCCCTGCTGGAAGGCATCTAGCAGCATCATTTTCATACTCCAAGGACAATCTGTCATCCTTCAGCTGCCCTGGGCCGACATGGCCATCTCTGCCCTACTTTTTTGGATGGGGGGCATGGAGGCAGACTGGCTCTCCTTGGCTTACATGATTACTGGACATGACTCAGAGCCAGGGTTGCTGAGTACGGCTGCACAGGCTATGCACTGTCCAACTTTGAGGGGAATTGTGGGACACAGAAGTCCTGCACTGGGGTCCAGAATCAGTAACCAACTGTCACTGCTCAGTTGGCCGGGCCATGTGGCTTTTTCATTCCTTTGAGATGTGCTACAACTCCATTAGCAAGGAGTGCCAGTGCAGCTGAGAAACTGGAGGGCTGGTCCTTGCCTGGTACCTTCTCCATCTTGTCCTAGCAAGCCCCATGGCCCATGTCAATGAAGGAGACTCCTTGGGACCTGACCAGTGGGTTTAGTGTCCAGAGCTTAGTCCATTGCTCCCTCCTCCCGGTGTGGGGAGTACAGAATGCTGACTGCTTTCTGTGCTGTGCCCAAAGCTATCCCTGTGCTGCTCCCC